TTGCAAAGTCAGGGAGGGAGCCTTGACCCCTGGACCGCCCCCCTTCCTAAGAGGGATAAACACCAGCAAGTAGAACAAAGGGTGGGCCAGATCGCCAGAGCAGCAAACAGAGCTATGGGCCTTGGGGAGGATCCAGGGCAACTGAAGGGAGTGTGCTCATGGTGGTACTGGGGCTGGCAGAGAGTTAGAGGCCATGCCAAGGGCTCTGACTCTGAGCACAGCCCTGGCAGAGCCGTGGGTCATGGCCCTGGCTCTGAAGGAGAGTCGGAAAGGAGGCACCGAGAGCATGCCGGGCCAGACATGGCAGCTCACCTTCCAGCTTTCCCTCTGGAGCCCAAGGGGAGGAGGGAGAGGAGGTGGAGGCTGAGTTCTGAACCAAGTTTTCCTGAAAAGCCTCTTTCCTTGTTTGTCCTTGCCCCTCCCAGGCCCTCCCACGCTCCGCTGCAGCTTCCCAGCTCTGGGCCAAAGGGCCAGGGCAGGACAAAGGGGCCAGCGCAGGACAAAGAAGGGGCCAGGGCAGGACAAGGAATAGAGCACTGCCTTCTCTCTGCTTTCCTTAGGGGCTTGGAAACAAAGCTAAAGCCCCAGCCATTTTAGGGGGCCCATCTTTTACTGGGAGTCAGAGTCTACTGGGATCAGCAGTCTACTCCCAGCTGCCCAGCCACCACCCCTTCAGTCAACCTCACAGTCCTCTCGGCTTACTCACTTCCTTACTCCCCAGCTATTTTCTTCCTGGTGCCCACACTCCTTTTCTCTACCTCTTTGGCGGCTGTCATGTGGCCCAGCATCCATCAGTGCTACCCCAGGAGCTGCTTGTGAACGAGTGGAGAAGGGGGGGATCTCCCTAGAACCACTGGGTCTGTGGAGGAGTTAGCAGGAAGCAGCAGGTGGGCCAGGTTCCCTTGGCTGCTTGAAGAGGCTCTTCTCTCTCCCCATAACCCAAACCCTCAGACAGGATAGATCTCTACTGGAGACCTGTTTTTACCAACTGGGCAATTGCTGCTTTGAGGGAAGACGCTGGCTGTTCCTAACCTCCATTCAGTGTTTCCCTCGCACACCTGCCCAGCTCCCAGATGAAATCAGCAATGGATGTCTGCCCACGGGCATCCCTTCACAGCCTCACTTTCCTCATCAGTAAGAAGGGAGGGTAAGATGCTCTTAACCTTGGGTGTTCCCTCCTGAGTTCCCTTCTGTGGAATCCACAAATTACCCTCAAACACTGGGGGTGGGGGAGTGGGAGTGTCGCTGTGCTCCCAGGCCCCTGCCTCACCTCTGGCCTGGATACTTTAGGACCTCAAAGCACTTTCACCATAAAGTTCCCCTTCCTTGTCCTTTTTATTGCACAAATAAAGGGAAATGACTCACCCCAAAGTCACCTTAGATGGGTGGGAAGGTGTCATACTAGCAAACAGGGAGTCCCCAAGGGGCATCTTCAGCCCCCCCCCCCCCCCAACTCTTTTCCCTATTCCCTAGGGTTGCCCTCCCTAAGGGGAGTGGAAGGGGGAAGGGGTCACATTTCCTTTTAGTTTGAGGACTTGGACCCGCAGCAGAAGTTCAGCTCAAGCTGCTAACTCAGGGATATCGCCCTCCCCTACTTGTCTCCTCTCCCCGTGTCACCAGTAACCTCAAGGCGAGGTCAGTTCTGCAATCACGTGAAGCGCTCACGTTTGCAAGGTTTGCAGAAAAGGCCTATTAGTTTTGATCTCCCAGGGAGCAGCGAATGCTTGCCAGTCCCTCCCCAGGAATTCACATGCCTCTGCCATACAGGCTTTACAAACACGCCACCCTGACTCTTCAGCGCACCCCACCCACCCGGCTCTCGGCTCCTCCCCGGCCCGGCAAGAGCTTTTGCTAGGCAGAAAGGGATAAACAGACGCAGCCCGCCCACTTTACCAGCGGACCACAAATCCCGGCAGCCTTGGCGCGGCGCAGGCGCACGGGGCTCAACGTGCCTGCTGCTGGAAAAGTGTGTCACTGGGGCACGAGGCGCTCCCCGGGATCACATGGTACCTGCTTCAGTGCCGCGTGCGGCCCGGGAATCCTGGGTTGCTGGCGCCTGCGCAGAACCTCCTGTCCCAGGGAAAAAGGCTGGGGCAAAAGGCGGCTGAGATTGGCAGAGTGAAATATTGCTGCCGAGGGAACCTAGCAGGGCACACGTCTCGCTTCTCTGCGCCCGGCTGCCCTGTTTCTCCCCATCACCTACCTACTTCCTGACTGCAGCCTCTCCCCCTCCGGGACTTCTGCACCGGGAGTTCCCGATTCGCTGTCCTGCGGCGCTGCGGAGCCGCCGGGCAGGGGCACCGGTGCACTGCGGAGACCCGACCCTCCTTGCTGCCTGCCTTCTAGCCAGAACCGCAGGCTAATTCTCTCCGGCCCCCTTCCCCCACACGCACTCTGCTCTTCCCATGCAAAGCAGACCTCCGCGGCCTCAGCGTCCTCCCCTTCTGCAGGGCTGCAGTCCGGCCACCCCCAGACCTTGCTGCAGGGTGCCTCCGCTCCCTGCGCTCCGCCAGTGCCCCGGGGGAGACAGCCGCAATTGCGACCTCCAGTTTGCGTCAAGGTCCAGTTTGAATGACCGCTCTCAACCGGTGAAGACATGACGACCCTGGACTCCAACAACAACACAGGTACTGAGATGACTATCCTCATCTTTTGTCACTTCTCCTCACTTGTGTGTCTTAGAACAAGAGGAACTTGGTAAGGGGCTGGGGAATCCCTTTCCCCCCGGGGGTTTACTAGTGTAATGGGGAGCACAGACTAGGATTTCAAGAGGGTTTTTCTTTTTCTTTTCTTTCTTTCTTTCTTTTTTTTTTTTGCCTGGGAATGTGTCCTGAGATGCCCTACCCTCACCCCTCAGAGCCTAAAGCTCTCATTAGCCAGAGGATCCCGGGCCGAAGGAAACGGAGAAGGGGTTCCGTGTGATGAGATGGACAGTTTAGGGGGACTGGGAGCTTCGGAGCATCTACCCGCCCCCTGTAGCTGTGACCCGCCTGGCCTTCTCGGAAAGAAGGTCCCCTCCTTGGTCTCTTCCTCTTCCCCTGGTTTCCGCCGGCAGGAAGAACCCTAAGAGGCACTGGGGCGATCGGGGCGCCCAGGCAGGGGGCTGGGGAGCGGGTCAGGTCTCGCTGGGGAATCCTCAGCGGCCGCGGGGAGCGGGACTGGAGAAGCTGGGCGAGTGGCGCTGGGCCCCAGGAGGACACCCACGGTGCCCGGTGGCCCGGAGGGCTCACATGGCTGCAGAGCCGGGCCCACGTGCTGCGTTTGTTTTCATTCAGCAGGAGCCGTGGCCGCCACCTCATTGGTCGCTGCCTCCCGGCCCTGTTACATAATGAGCTCCGCCCCCCGGTCGCCCCGGCAACGAGTGTTCCCGTTTCCCCTCTCCTCTGCAGTCCCCGCCCATCTCGCCGCCCAGCCCGGGCCCGGGCCCCGGGGAGGGGCGGGACGGAGGCGGTGCTCCTGCTGTCGATTGATGGGAAGCGGAGAGGGCGAGCCCTGAGTTCCGGGGTTCCTCGTTGGGGAGCCACGTGCAGGAGGCACACGTGGAGCGGAGACGTGAGGCCGGCTGAGGGCCCGACTCCCGCCCCGCCCCGCCTAGATCTGGGTGAAGCTGGGCTGACTCACCGCACCCGCCTGCCTCTTTTCCTGTCTGCCTGCCCGGGTTCCCCCTCCTCCCATCAACAAAGCTGAGTAAGATGGGGCCATCCTGACCTTGCTTGGCCTCCTGTTTACACTCCTCAGAAGGACCTCACAGTTAGCCACCCTTCTCCTCACTGCTTTCCTCGTTTTCTTTTTGCGCCTACTCACTGCACTGCCTTTAGACCCAACTTCTCGGCATTCCAAGTTCTTTCTGTGCCCCAGGCATCTCTTTCCTTAGCCCTGCAAACACTATCTTATTCCTCACCCCACCAGACAAGCAGCAGTTTGCTTCCTAAGGACTCTCCAGCTACAACTACATTCCAGAATAATAACTGAGAGGACATTAAGTCTCTCTCATCTTTTTGTTTGTTTTATAGAAAGGAAAACAGACCTAGAGAAGGGACTTGATTTTCTCTAGATCACAAATCAATTTGGTGGTGATAGATCTAGAACTAGGCTCTTTGGAGCATGCCCCTCACTTCCAGGTTAGAAGGAAGCCTTTTTAGTGAGTCTTACTCCTCTTTAAGCCATCCCTGGTGAACTAGGTCATGTTCATTTACCATCAACTGAATACCCCATCCCCCATCCCCCCCCAATCAGCCTTGAAACTGGAGGAGCTGATCTGTTGTGCAACTATTTTACAGGGAGCTGTGTTCACCCTGGCCAACCTTGAGCTATTTTAGGGTTGCCCTGCCCAGCTTAGTGTGTGTCAGTGGGTGAGCAAGACATGTGCCTCTGGAGACACAGTAGCATAGCCTGTGTTGGCTTACACGTGTCCTGGGCTCGTCCCTTCTCTCACCCCGCCCATGGCCAGCCAAACTAGGTGCTTGGCAAAGGCGTGGCAGGCAGGTCACCTTTTTCTCCTGCTGATGCCACGGGAACATAGCCACCTGGTTAGCAAGCAATCAGATGGCCAAAGTCCTGGAGTGGCTAGAGAGCCAAGGTCATTGTCACCAGACTGAGAGATCCGGAGGGCCGGACAATTTGTCCTTCACATCCACCTCCTGCAATGTGCACTGCTGTTTCCTGGATTCAGAGGAAGAGTCCCCTCGGACTGGGGGCTATTGGAGGCCGGGGAACCGGACCGGGCAGGTTTGGTACCTTCGGAGAATACGTCTTCCACTTGGGGGGGAATGTGACTTTAAATTTCCACATTCCCCCACGCCGCTCGCTGTTGGCTAGCTGCCCCTCCGTGGCCTCATCCCTGGAATGGTCTTCTGTTAAAATCGGCAGCTGTTTATTTTGGAAGACGGGGCCTTATGAATGGGTCTCAGCTGCTCTTCCCATCCTTAGGTCTGCCCCGGACAAGTCATTAGCTGCAGCCAGTTTCCAAGGAAGGCTTCCAGGGCAGGGGGAGGGGGCACATGTGTGAGATGACCACAGGAGTCGTGCTTCTAGGGAGGTCACCTAAGGCCGAAGCTGAGTGTGCTCTGCAAAGGGTCGTGGTGGTTGATCGGCTCTGCCGTATCTAATATGTGTTGGGGGTCGCCTATGGTGGCTCTTCTGGGGTGCCACATGATTAACTTCTGGTTTGGGGGAGGCAGGGGGGTGATGAGCAGGGTGGTGCCCTGAGACCATAGACATACGGCAGCTGACATCCCCTCCCCCTGTGTTCTATCGCCAGGTGGCGTCATCACCTACATTGGTTCCAGCGGCTCTTCCCCGAGCCGCACCAGCCCCGAGTCCCTCTACAGCGACAGCTCGAATGGAAGCTTCCAGTCCCTGACCCAAGGCTGCCCCACCTACTTCCCACCATCCCCCACTGGCTCCCTCACCCAGGACCCAGCTCGCTGCTTTGGGAGCATCCCACCCAGCTTGCGCGATGATGGCTCTCCCTCTTCATCTTCTTCATCGTCCTCCTCCTCCTCCTTCTATAACGGGAGCCCCCCGAGTGGTCTACAAGTGGCCCTGGAGGACAGCAGCCGCGTGTCCCCCAGCAAGAGCACCAGCAGCATCACCAGTGAGTCCACTTCCACGTGATGGAGGAAGGAGGTGGCAGACCCAGGTCGGGAGTGGGTGTCCACGTGAAAGTTATTGGCCTTGGAGACTTCTCCTAGAGCTGCATCAGCTGCTGCTGAGCCCAGTCTGGTCATTTGAGTGCTCCCTAGATACCTGGGCTCCTCCTCAAATTTCCCCCCAGAATCTCCAGCCCAGAAAACCTCCATCTCTGACCACTAGACACCCCTCCTGCTCACTTGCGGCCCCTCTCTTCCCACAGAGCTCAACGGCATGGTGCTGCTGTGTAAAGTGTGTGGAGACGTTGCCTCGGGCTTCCACTATGGTGTGCACGCCTGTGAGGGCTGTAAGGTGAGGCAGGCTGGGGGAAAAGCCAGGGCCGGTGACCCCCTCCCCCAGGACGCACAGGCCTGGCCTGGATGGAGACGCTCACTCGCTGCCCCCGCCGTCTAGGGCTTTTTCCGCCGGAGCATCCAGCAGAACATCCAGTACAAAAGGTGTCTGAAAAACGAGAGCTGCTCCATCGTCCGCATCAATCGCAACCGCTGCCAGCAGTGTCGCTTCAAAAAGTGTCTCTCCGTGGGCATGTCCAGAGATGGTGAGGCAGCACGGTTGCCCCTGGAGCGTTTTCCTTCTGTTTCCGAATGAACCCCTCCCTGGAAAAAGCCCCAAACTGAGGCACATATCCGGGAGTCCCATTTGCATAGGGGATGCCCATACTCCATCCTCAGGGGTAAACACAGTTCCTTAGTCCCTCTGGTCACTTCTTAGCGAAATCCCTACTTGGAAAACTCCTCCATGGTGTGCCCTTGCTGGTTTTAGTTTTGATGTGGAACCCCAAGCCCGCAGGGTCTCGCCCTCTCAGGAGGAAGGAAGGAAGAGAAGCATGTGAGTGCGTATGAAAACTTCCTGACACTGCTCTCATCCTGTCACAGCTGTGCGTTTTGGGCGCATACCCAAGCGGGAGAAGCAGCGGATGCTCGCCGAGATGCAGAGCGCCATGAACCTGGCCAACAACCAACTGAGCAGCCAGTGCCCGATGGAGACCTCGCCCGCCCAGCACCCAGCCCCAGGCCCCATGGGCCCCTCACCATCCCCCGCTCCAGCCCCCTCACCCCTGGTGGGCTTCTCCCAGTTCCCACAACAGCTGACACCGCCCCGATCTCCAAGCCCGGAGCCCCGAGTGGAAGATGTGATATCCCAGGTGGCCCGGGCCCACCGGGAGATCTTCACCTATGCCCACGACAAGCTGAGCTCACCTGGCAACTTCAATGCCAACCACGTGTCCGCCAACCCGCCGGCCACCACCCCGCATCGCTGGGAAAGCCAGGGCTGCCCGCCTGTTCCCAATGACAACATCATGGCCGCGCAGCGTCATAACGAGGCCCTGAATGGTTTACACCAGGCTCCCTCCTACCCTCCCGCCTGGCCCCCTGGCCCTGCCCAGCACAGCTGCCACCAGCCCAACAGCAATGGGCACCGTCTCTGCCCCACCCACGTGTACCCAGCCCCAGAAGGCGAAGCACCTGCCAACAGTCCATGGCAGGGCAACTCCAAGAACGTCCTGCTGGTGAGGGCACCAGGGGTGAAGTGGGCAGGTGGCCCGCAAGACTGGATTTAGCTCAGGCAGCTGGGTGTGCCCGGAGGCTAACACCAGAATAGCCTCTTCCCCGGGGAGGATGCTGAGCCCTGTAGCGAGGGCTCTGCCTGGGGAATCCCTCCTCTGCACCTGGGCCCTGCTCGCTACTTCACCTGACAGACCCGTCCTCTCGGCCACGGCCTCTCGCCCGGGCCAAATCACGGCCCCGCACCTGTGGGGGGAGCTCATCTGAGCTAGCCCGGCTGATCCTCCCCTCCCCAAACCCCTTCCTCCTCCAGGCATGTCCGATGAACATGTACCCGCATGGATGCAGCGGGCGAACCGTGCAAGAGATCTGGGAGGACTTCTCCATGAGTTTCACACCTGCTGTGCGGGAGGTGGTAGAGTTTGCCAAGCACATCCCAGGCTTCCGTGACCTTTCTCAGCACGACCAGGTCACTCTGCTGAAGGCTGGCACCTTTGAGGTGAGTGACCCTTGGTGCTCCCCACCCTTGACCTTGGGAAGCACCAGCAGGAAATTTGGCTTCCGGGGCAGGCAGTGTCTGTGAAAGGCTTTGGAACCCCCAGACCTTTGTCCTTAGACTCTGACTGAGGAGGGAGGGGGCAGGACGTTTCTCACTCCTGCCTCAGGAGGCTGGGCCCTCTGCCTTCTCAGCTGGGGTCTAGTCACATCCCATTGCCTTACAATAACCCTTCGGGGCACATGGCTACCCCCATTCGAGGCCTGAGCAAATTAGCTTTGGTGAAGTGACTTGCCCAAGACTCTGATTGAGGCCTGTTGGATTTCAAAGCCAGTGTGGGGTGTCCTCCATCCTCCCACCTCCCAGTCCCCGTTTGGAAATCGTCCCCACTCTTTCCTGAGAAACCCAGTAAGCCCTCCCGAGAACTGCAGGGGTGACTCGGCAAGTGCTGCCGCCACCTCACCCAGGATGCCTTCCCGCGCTAGGTGCTGATGGTGCGCTTCGCGTCGCTGTTCAACGTGAAGGACCAGACAGTGATGTTCCTGAGCCGCACCACCTACAGCCTGCAGGAGCTCAGCGCCATGGGCATGGGCGACCTGCTCAACGCCATGTTCGACTTCAGCGAGAAGCTCAACTCCCTGGCGCTCACCGAGGAGGAGCTGGGCCTCTTCACCGCGGTGGTGCTGGTCTCTGCAGGTGAGCCAGCCTCCGCCTGCGCTGACCCGGGAGGAGGCGGACGCAGTTCGGTTGAACACACCTTTTATGGAGTACCTACTCTAGGCCAGGCCCCGCACCGGGCTCTGGCGATACAGACACGATTCAGACACAGTCTAGCTTGGGAGACAGACTCATGCCCGACTAATAATAAAACAGTGAAATAAGTGTCACAGTAGAAGCATGAACCAAGGGCTTGGGAAGCACACACACAGCTATTTCTGCCTGGGGAGCTGGGGAAGGAGGTGACACTTGAGTGGGGCCTCAAAGGACAAGTGAGCTATTGCCAGGCAGAGGTGGGGGAGGGGTGGGAGCGTGGGGGTGAGGGAGAGGCATTCAAGCGGGGGGAACTATCGAGCAAAAAGCAAGGGAGCCTGGGTAGGATTGGCCTGTTTAGGGGAGGAGAGCGGCCTTATGGGCTGGGAGGTGCCCAGCCCAGCTGAGCCCATGCTCCCAGCTCTGGGGCACCTCCTGCTCCGGGGCAGAGGCCTGGGGGGAGGAGTAATGCTTCCTTCCTCCTCCCTCCCTTGGGCCCTCCGAGGGGCTTCAGGGAGAGGCTGCATTGCCCGAGGCAGCCTCCTGGCAGACCTCGGGGTCCTCCTGGCAGACCTCGGGGTCCTCCTGGCAGGCCTCGGGGTCCTCCTGGCAGACCTCGGGGTCCTCCTGGCAGGCCTCGGGGGGCTCCTGGCAGGCCTCGGGGGGCTCCTGGCAGGCCTCGGGGTCCTCGTCAGAGGAGCTCAGGGAGCTGGCCTCACTGCTGTCGTCTTCCCCACAGACCGCTCGGGCACGGAGAATTCCGCTTCGGTGGAGCAGCTCCAGGAGACGCTGCTGCGGGCTCTTCGGGCTCTGGTGCTGAAGAACCGGCCCTCGGAGACTTCCCGCTTCACCAAGCTGCTGCTCAAGCTGCCGGACCTGCGGACCCTGAACAACATGCATTCCGAGAAGCTGCTGTCCTTCCGGGTGGACGCCCAGTGACCCGCCCGGCCGGCCTTCCGCCGCTGCCCCCTTGTACAGAATCGAACTCTGCACTTCTCTCTCCTTTACGAGACGAAAAGGAAAAGCAAACCAGAATCTTATTTATATTGTTATAAAATATTCCAAGATGAGCCTCTGGCCCCCCCGAGCCTCCTTGTAATACCTGCCTCCCGCCCCCATCACCGAACCCCCGCCCCTCCCTATTTAAACCACTCTGTCCCCCTAATGCTCTCGCCCCCATTTGTTCTGTTCCTGTCTCAAATCCAATGGTTCACAGCTGAGCTGGCTCCTGTGGTGTGTGCTTGTTGGGGGCGGGGTGGGGCGGGAGTAATGCCAAGGCCGGGGGCACACCTCTCCATCTGGTCAGTTTGGGGGGTGGGTACTCTGCCAGCAGATGGGAGGGTACAGGGAAACAGCACACGAGTCTAAGGGGGGCGCCCACGGGGGTTATTTTCATCATATATTTATTACATAAATATATAGTAAAATAGACGAGCAACAATTACCATAAAAATATCTTTCTTTAAAATCCTGACCCAAAACACAACGGGGTGAAAAATCGCACATAACAGACATACTGATTGTCAACGTGGGGCAGGAGTAGGAGCCCCCCAAGTCACTCCTACTGGCCCCGCCCCTGGGGAAGGGAACTACTGCCTTCCCTGTTTCTGGCCACAGCCCCCCTCCCCCCACCCCAGCACCAGCTTCTCATACATTCAGTAGCGCCTCCAGGGAAGTGTCCCCTCCCCCCACCCAGGAGTCCCGGGGCAGGAATTACTGTCCCTACGGAAGGTGTCTGTCACACGCCCTGCCCTCTCCCAGCCCTGAAGACCCGCCACCGGGAGAAGGCATCGGGGCTCCTCGGCCCCCACCCTCCCCATGTCTGAGCAGGGAGGAGGCTGGATGAGGTATGTGTGTTATGAGTGATAGGACGGGGAATACTGAGATGGAGAGGCGGTGGTGGGGGTGGGGTAGTGGTCATGGCTCTGGCACCCCCTTGTCCTGGCCTGGACCCCTCCTTCTAGTCTCAGCAGCCCCTCCTCCCACAATACTGCACCTGCTGCCCCACCCTGCCTGCCCTAGTGCCCCGGGCCAATACTGGGGGAGGCATGCTAAGCACCCACGTCTAAGCCGTCCCCCTCATTAGCACCAATGGGCCCAGGAGAGGGCCCTGTCCCCCACTTCCACAGCGGGGACTGGGACAGCTGCCTCTCCAGAGCAGGTGTGTGGCACTCCTGAGTCCCCCCCCAGCTCCTCCCCCACCACATGCACTCACACATTCACACCGAGAAATGCACGCGTACGCCCCACATCAGAGTGAGGGGGAAGGGTCAGGGCAGGAGTGGGGGGTCACAGCTCATATGATTGGGGTGGGGTAGGGGGATTCCCAAGTGCCTGTAAGAGGCCAAGCCTCCTCAAGGCCTTTTCTCCGCCATGTCCATGGCTGAGAATGGGGAATGGGGGTGGGGGGAAGGCTGCAGGGATGGGGGAGACAGCAGACAGGTCAGGAATTCCACTGGGCCCCTAGGGGTGGGAAGCGGGTACGAGAGGGCTTGCCTATAGGGCAGGAGGGATACAGGAATTGGAGCCCCAGGAGAGAGAGAGGGAGAGACAAGACAGCATGTGCAGCCCGCGTGCCCCGGGGGGCGGGGCAGGCACTCGCACAGGTGACAGCACAGGGACAGCGGATGCTCCTCTGGGCCCTCCCCTCCGCCCAACACTGACAGCAGGGGAAGGACACGCCCTGGTGGGCAGCATAGCATTGCCTGTGTGTGTGTGTGTGGTGTGTGTGTCGGGGGGGGGGGGCTGTGGCAGGCTGAGGGTTGGGGTGGGGTGGCAGGTCCCCCACGGCTTAAGACATGTTTGCCCCAGTAGTGCAAAGCTCAGGAAGCCCTGGCACCCCGCCCCCCTCCCCCCTTCCCCATGGCTTCCGGGGGCATCTATGTCCACCCATCCATCCCTGCCGACATGCAGCCCTGAGCCCAGGGCCCTCTGGTCTGCTCCGCCCCTCCCCGCCCTCCCCCCTGCCCCACCCGCGGGAGAGCTACCCCCTTCTCTGTCCCTCTCCCTCATCTCTCTCCCCTGCAGAGCGGGCGAGAGCCAAGGGGAGGAGGAGGGTAACTGACCCAAATGCAGACCAACAGAGAGCACTCCTCGCCACCGAGGGTGGGAGGTGGCTCAAGCCAAAGTCCCTGAATTAGAGAAAAGAAGAGGGGAAAGGGGTCCCGGGCGGGGCGGAGGGGCTGGCTGGCCTAAAGAGCTTCGGGGGGGGAAAGGAGGAGCACCAACCGCCCCCTCCCCAGGGCCCGAGCTAAGTGCTATTCATCGAAGCGTCCCGTTCAAGGTGCCTGCCCACCCGGGGTCTGGGTTCCTGCGTAGACGCGGCGGGGGGGGGGGGGGGGGGGGGGGTGGTGTCAGGACGGGGAAGGGCAGGGGTTAGAGAGAGCCCAGAAGACATGTGGGAGACAGAGTCCTGAGGGGGGCGGGGGCCCGGGAGAAGCCGGGGCACGCACACCCTCCTCGCCCTGGTGCAGAGCATCTGGACTGGAGCTGGAACAGCAGGATGTGAGGAGGGTGGGAGCTTGAGCCACAGTTTTTCCTGTGTGGGTGCCAAAGGGCAGGGGGAGTGGGGGGCGGGGGAGACGGGGGAGGGACAGGGAGAGGCCCCCGGGGCTGGGCACTTGAAAGGGGAGAGCTGTGCGGGCAGCAGGGCGGGCAGGCTGGTGAGGGGCCAGCTGGCATCCAGCGTGAGAGGTAGATGGAACTCAGCGGGCACGAGTGGCAGAGAGCAGAGGAAGTCCTGGGGTGGGGGTGCCAAAAGGGGCACAGAGGGTGGGGGCAAGGCAAGGGGTGGGTGGCCAGGACCCTGTTGTGTGAACTCACAGCTCTGATCGGCAGCCCTACCTTTAGGGACCTTGTGTGTGTGTGTGGGGGGGGGGGGGGGGGCAGTTCTCTGATTTGGGGGGGGAGGGGTAGTTCTCAAAGTGCATGGGGGTCGTAGGGGGCTCCTCCCCTCTGGCCAGCCTCAGTTAATAACTTAATATTATCTCTCTCTCTCTTTAGCAATAGTTCGCGCGCTCTCTCTCTCTCTCTCTCTTTTTTTTTTAATTTCTTTTTTCTTTTTTCTTTTTCTCTCTGTCTAGTTTTTCTTCATTTACCTTCTCCCCTCGCCTGGTTTCCAAAGTGCAGTTAGAATGACTATAATTTTTAACCTCCGGGGAGGAGCCAAGCCCAGCCCTTCTCTGCACCCAGGCATCTGGGGAAGCGAGAGGCCCCGAGCCTGGAGGGGGAATCTAGGCCAAGGACCTAGACGGGGCCTCTCTCTCTCTCTCTCATGTGTGTGTCGGGGGTGAGCTGAGGGCCTCTCCCCCCGGCTCCACATTCCTGTCCCCTACAGTCAAGATGGCTTGTCCCCTCTTGGCTCTCCCTTCCTTCCCCTGCCTTCTCAGAGGACGGGGCCCACGGTCCCCCCCAAGCCAGCCTCCCACGCTGTCCTTCCATAGCCAGTTCATCAGCGGCCCTGTCCCAGGGCTGGAGGCTCTGGGGAGGGGCGGGGTGGTGCGGGCGTGTGTGGGAGCTGCATCTATCCGAGGACGAGAGGGAGGAGAGAAGAGGGGTGTGTGGGGGGTCTCCCTCAGCCCCCCGGCTCTGCCCCTTCTCTCCAGGCTCCTCCCCACCAGCTCCGCACACCCTCTGGCCGCCTGAGGCGTTAGACTTCCTGATCCTCAAAGACCTCGAGGAAGAGAGGGGGGAAGAGTTCGGTGGGGCACTCGACTTTCATGTGGAGGAAGCGGCTGGCGTGGCAGGCCCCGATCATGCGGAGGTCAGTCACCTTCATCAGCAGCTTGGGCCAGAAGTGCGGAATGTTGTGTTTGCGGTGGTTGACGTAGTGCTCGAACGCCAGCAGGTACGCCTCCTGACTCTTCTCGATCTTGTCCACGCACAGCAGGCCCGAGCGGTCTGCGGGGAGGAGAGGCACGAGAGTGAAGGGAGGCGGCAGGGCGGGGCGGGGAGTGGAGGAAAACATACGGGGGAGGGGGGCGGGGGGGGGGCATGTGTAGGATAAGGTGATCAGATGTCCCGCTTTTGGC